AGAAGAATAATTTCCTAAGAAACAACTCTTGAGTTCTGCTTATACATGTAAAATTGCAGTCTAGACAGAATTTCCTTTTTTACTTTTCTTTGTTCAATATTTATGTGATTAGTAATAGTAACAGTATCATATATTTGTGTGCAATGTTGCAACTGACAAAGTGTTTTAATAAGCTTGGCAACAACCCCTTGGTATCTCATTCTTGCTGCTGAATTTTCGAAGGCAGGTAGATAGAAGTCCCACAGCTAATAATTGGCAGAATTGTGCCTTGGACCTGATTCTTTCAAGCCAACTTCAGTGTTCATTTCACTACATTTTGTCTATGAAGGTTTCCTTCTAGGGAGAGTTGGTTATGGTCTTTCAGTTTTCAACCCCAGTGATTTTGATTGTTATCCCTATGTCCTGCACATAATTGATAACAGTCATTAAATAATTATGGGCCAGAACAGTGACTCACACCTGTAATCCCAACACTTAGAGGGGCTAAAGCAGGCAGATCACAAGGTGAAGAGATCGAGACCATCCTGGTCAACATGGTAAAACCCTGTCTCTACTAAATATCCAAAAAGAAATTAGCTGGGCATGGTGGTGTGGGCCTGTATTCTCAGCTGCTTGGGAGGTTGAGGCAAGAGAATTTCATGAACCTGGGAGGAGGAGGTTGCAGTAAGCCAAAATCACGCCACTGCACTCCAGCCTAGCGACAAGAGTGAGACTCCATCTCAAAATAAAACAAAAGAATTGTGGAAGGAGATGAGGAAGAAAGGAAGGAAGGAGGAGAAGAGGAAGAAAGGAAAGAAAGAAGGTGGGGAGGGGCAGGCTGCATGGAAGAAAGAGGGAGGACATGAAGGAAGAAGGGAATCCTGTTGTGTGGTAAATGATTTTTGGAGCCCTGAAATGATGGTAGTAGTCCCCAAGTTCTCAGCTATTTCAGAGAACTGTCCAGATTCCCCAGCAATGATCATTTGTCCTGACCTTTTTTGCCAAGGCAGACCAGGTCTAGAGTAAAGTACTAGAGAATACATTCTCTGGTATTAAAAGGAATGGCCCAAACCACAATTACTTTTGCACCAACCTAATAGTAAGTTACTGCTTTACCTTATACTTTCTTCCTCATGATATTGTAGTTGCTGACATACCAAGGAAAGTGTGTTTGGGATAAAGTGGTCATATAAGTGGCAAACATCAAAGTAATATCAGATTTTGTAGTGTTTTTCTAACTGCTGTTCATTTAGCAGTCACTACTTCTAGTAGTAACTCCCAAATTGTGAAAAACTAATCACAAATCAGAGGGAGACGAGGTTTAGGAAACACTGAATGAGTGAGATCTACTTCACCTCCTTCCTGGACCAACTATGGGCCGGGCGGGGTCATCTTTTATATATTGAAACATATTTTATCTTCCAAATCTTTACCTTTAATACAAGTCCTCCTAGCTCCCCCAGAAAGAATGCTGCTTGCTCTGTTTGGCATAGGACCCGCTTTGTCTGTTTCATTATGTTCTGGTTGAATTACCAAGTGGAAACTGATTTAGGAATACTGAGTGTATACGGCACAGAGAAAAATTATCACTGCAAAATTTATCGGCCTGTGTAAGACTGTCAGGGCACTGTGTTCCAATTGGGAGACCGAAAGGAAACCTGGCAAAAATCTGAAGAGTGTATGTAGCACAATCTCCATCCCGGGTTCTTCTGACAATTACAACTTATTCCTGTGCTTGGCTGGTTCAGAGCAGCTGCATCCAGTCAGTTGACACTTCGCATCACCTGGGAGCTCCTTGCTGCCTTACAGTTCATGATCATTTTTTGATCTCACTGCTGCTAAAGGAGAAAAGTGCTAAGCATAATAATCCAGGACTGTATGAGATACTTGCTACTTCGTTTCCCTCAAGGAATCATTTTGCTATCAAATACCCCATTACTAGTTTCAGGTAATGATCTAAGATTTTTTTAAATGAATATATCAGAGCCAGGTGCTTCAGGATAGGGTTACAAGGATAATCATTTCAGGGAGATATACTTTTGTTTATAGTTTTTTTAGTTGTTTCTGGTTTTTAACATACGTATTAATCTCATAAGTTGTTTCTAGTTTTTAACATACGTATTAATCTCATTTTGATAATCTCATAAGATCAGAAAGTCTAAGGAAGAGGCATGTCTATCTGTTGTTTATATCACTTGCTATTTTTATTGTTTACATTTTATAAGGAGTGCCTACATTTTGGGGGGAAGTGGAATGTTGGTTTTGTTGTTTTAGCAAAATTGTTGGCATTTGTCCGGAGAGAGCCCAGGCAGTGTTTGCTGTTCAGGTTGCATGAAGGGCAATCTTTAGCAACCTGTCAGAGATGCAAAGGCCACTCGGGTCTGCTTGAGGTTCAGAGTTCCTCTGCAGGACTGCACAGTGACAGCACACTGCAGGTGGCCCATTCAGCACTGTCACCTGGGGCAGTAAGCATACCCAGCTCCATTTGTCATCCTGTGGAATCCTGTCAGCAGTTGAAAGCCTTTAAGCACAAAACCTTTAACATTCAAGGCAAACTTCCTAATATTTTTTAAAGGCAATTGCTGTGGATGAAAATATTAATATATAGCACCTAAATAAGTAGGTTTTCACATGAAGAGAAAATATTAGGTTAAAATTATACTCTGTGTGATATCTAGGAATGTTGTATATTACATGGTTTTACAGACCAAAAATGCAAATCATGTTCCCCTCTTCTTGATGAAGATGTTAAATTGTAAGTGATAATTGATGGTAAAAATCACCTGTCTCCTCATTCTTTCTTATTCCTCTTGTTTAATTTGTTTGGTTCATAGGCCTGGAAAAGATGCCTTGAAATGTAATTTGAAACTAACTTTTTTTTGATGTAATAACAAAATTAGTCTAATTCTTATTTATCCATAGTAATGATTCCAGAATAACATGCATCTCCTTAGAAATAAAGTTCTCCTTTAAAAAAATATAAATAGCATACATCTTCAAAGTCCCCAGATTTCCATTGTCAAGCTTTTTCTCTCATTGAACATGTCCAAATTAAGAGTCTTCCCTACTTGCCCATTAATATTTGCTATTATTCATTGAATGCCAGTTTTTTTTTTTTGCCAATTCCTTTATCTAGATTATTTATAATATCTACAAAATTCTGTAAGAGTGCCATTACCCCTGTTTTCTTAATGGGAATATTGAGCATCTGAGTGGTTAAGTGACTTATTCAAAACCAGTAGGGGACAAGATTTGAACCATATCTGTCCCCAAATTACAAATTGTTTTGAGTGCCTTTTGCTGTTATTCCAAAAAGCCATGCTAAGACCAATGAAAGGGGTCCAAAAACATGCCTTAGACGGGAGAATAAGAGGCAAGCAAGGCCATGAGTAATTCAGAAATGGAATAATCAGATGCTGAGTATTCCAGTCAGATAGAATAAAAATCAAACAGGGGAGAAGACAAAATTAGGTTATGTGTCACAACAAAATGTAGACTTATGAAGGAAATGAACAGGAAAGGCAGAAGAAAATGGAAAAGTAATACATGGCAGGTCAAGTAAAAGTAAACAAAGGTATATGAAATTCACATGGAAATAATAAAACAGAAATTAGTAAGGAAGACAGATAAGAGATTAAAAATTCATAAGAATGTATCAGTAGACAAGAAAAAATATTGCCTCTAAAGTTGGATATTTTTTCCTTAAAAGTGTATATAGAATCTGCACTGGCTCGATACAGTGGTTGTGCTTTTCATCCTGATAATATCATTGATAAACATTGTATACATTAGACATTTTTTGGTTGGGACTGAGTATTGCCCATGCTGTTCCCAATGATATGAGAAGCATCCTGGTACTAAATGCCCTGGTAGCCTGGGGCTGAGAGCTTTGGCCTTGTATAATTCATGTGCCCACTTTTCATGTAAAGTGAAGTTTGACAAGTAAGTATTAAGTTAATCGTATGAAGGTGTTGCAAACCAAAATTGAAACTTATTTCTACCCCTCATTCAAAATGGAGATATTTTGTAGTGCTTTAGTCTACATTTACAGTGATATTAGATTCTTTCCATTTCCTTAAAAGTATGATGGCAGTTGGACATTCAACCATATTCCTCTAAGAAATTAGAGTAGAAAAAAATGGCTTCTAATCTGCATTGTTAATATGTATCTGACTAATAATCTATAATGTTTTCATTGGGAACAAATAAGCCAACTTACTTCTTTTTATACATACTGTACATCATGTCTAAAAAATGTGAAGGCAATAGGCACATAAAACATTTCAAAATAAATAATTTTATCAATTAGTTGCCATTAACAAATAGATGTCTAAATTTTGTTGCGATGACATGACTTTATATTATTATCTTGAACCTTCCTGGGAAATGTATTTTAATTACAATAGAGCTTGTCTTTTCCAACTACCTGGAAAATTATATATTGGTTTAAAAATGTTGAGCCCCGGCCTGGTGCAGTAGCTCATGCTTGTAATCCCGGCACTCTGGGAGGCCGAGACAGGTGGGCAGGAGGTCCAGACCATCCTGGCCAAAATTGTGAAACCTCATCTCTTCTAAAATACAAAAATTAGCCAAGTGTGGTGGTGCGCGCCTGTAGTCCCAGCTACTCAGGAGGCTGAGGCAGGGGAATTGCTTGAACCTGGGAGGCAGAGGTTGCAGTGAGCTGAGATGGCACCACTGCACTCCAGCCTGGCAACAGAGTGAGACTCTGTCACAAAAAAAAAAAAGAAGAAAAGAAAAGAAAAAAATATTAAGCCCCTTTTCCTATTTAATTATAATAAAATTAGTTAACTCAATAATTCTCTCTTTTACAATTTGATTCCATGTAATTAGACCCAGAAAGTGCTTAACTTCTTTGCTATTGTTTGTAAGATCTGCAAGCTTAGTGAAATCTCCTGTACCTTATATGAACTCTCCCTTTTCTGATGATTTAAGATTAAAGGCTGCTTAGAAGGGGGAAAAAGAAAGTCAAAGTTAATCTTTCTCCTTTCTCTCCTCTTCAGCTACATCTACATCTACTACTGGGACAAGCCATCTTGTAAAATGTGCAGAGAAGGAGAAAACGTTCTGTGTGAATGGAGGCGAATGCTTCATGGTGAAAGACCTTTCAAACCCCTCGAGATACTTGTGCAAGTAAGAAAAGAAATCCTGTGTGTGGCTTATATCTATAACTGCTTGTTTCAGATGATTCTATGTCTCATGATGTATTGTTTCTTTTTTTCCAATTTTGTTGCATCATGTTGAATAATGCTGTTTTATATATAGAGTGTTTTAAAACATTCATATCATTTGTCATCACTCCTCTGTCATATCCAGAATTGTTTTTTGCTCTTTTCAATGTGTGTGATTTTTTTTTTTTTTTGCCGTTATTTATAATGTTGCTTTCTTTGTGGTTTTTCTTGTTGTGATTCAGAAAAGATGGGCAAATATCTTAGAGGCCTATAATTTTTGGTATCTACTTCTACATCCAATGTATCAATTAAGCTGTAAGATAATGTTGCTTTCTTATCCCAGTGATCACCCGCAAAATGAATAAGACAAGTAAAAGAAGCAGAAAGGCAGAAGATTATTGGCTGACATATGTCTGTTACACTTGGGATTGTCTTATTGTTTCATAACCATATTTTAAATGGACTTTAGATTTATATTGCTAGTAAAAAGAAAAGAAAAATGTAAATTACATGTATTTAGAAATCCATCGAGTGTGTATAGCATCCCTGTGGGTAGACAGCAGTGTTCTTTTATTCGTCTGTAGATATATCTAGAATAGCACTTTCTTTCCAATGACCTGAAAGAGTTGATGCACCACTAAGAAGTGTCCAGTTTATTCTGTCTCAATAGGCAGAGTAAGATAGTGATAGTATCAGTCAATTAAATATTTAAACCTTGTAGTAAAAACTAATAGGACTCATTCAAAAGCACATGTTTATTTTGCCATGTATTTTAAATCTGCTCTTGATATTTAGCCTATATGTGCTATATGGACTCATAATTTGATGTGGCCCTAAAAAGATATATAATGTTTTATTGAAATTATGAAAATACACATTTATTTTGCTGTTCACAAATAGCTGTATCCCAAAAGTGACGTATTTTAAAGGTTGTTCCTTAAAAAATGTAGTATAGAACATCTAATAAATTTTGCCAGCAGTCCCCAGCTGGAAACATGCAGTGGGGACATTGTTCTAAAGCAGCAATGCTTATTCTGAAGGAGGGAAAAACATTTTATTGTAATTTTTTTTTTTCATAGAATATTGGCATGTGACAAATCTTGACAAGGAAGAACAAGGCTGTTAGGGAGGCAATTGAACTGATAGGAGCAATTAGCAAAATGAAAAAGACAAAAGAAATAGTCAACTAGGTCATGTCTCTTTCACATCACAGAAATACTGTATAAATATTTAGGTGCCAATTCTAATAAAACCTTAATTATGTTCATAAGTAAAGAAGTGCATCTTAAAAGACGTATGTTTTAAAGACAAAAAAGAAAAATCGAAAATGCCATTTTGTAGGCCATGTTTTGCTGCTCTCTGAGCTGAGGTAAACTGGGCATGTCTGTGGTATGCCTGATGGGAGCTCATGGCTCTGAACAAGTACCTTCCAGAACTGCTTCCTTCTTGTACTCAAAAGCTCTCCTTTAAAGAGAGTAGATACAGTGTCAAGATAAGACAGGTTCTGGTGGTTGTATAGCTGATTTTATCAAAGACAGATAATTTGTAAAAGTAAATATAGTCTGTTAGAGCAAATAAAAGACTTGGAGCCAGAACAGAATTCAAATCTCAATTACTAAACATTTCTTTTATGGAAATAAATAATTTTTATAAGCCAAAGTGAAATGATAGGTAAAAGTCTTGCAGAAATATGAGTATGAGGACAAGTGCATGCCTGTAATCTCAGCACTTTAAGAGGCCAAGGCAGGCAGATCACTTGAGCCCGAGTTCAAGACCAACCTGGGCAATGTGGCAAAACACATTTGCTACAAAAAATGCAGAAGAACGATTAGCCAGGCATGGTGGCATGCACCTGTAGTCCCAACTATTTGGGAGGCTAAGGTGGAAGGATCACTTGAGCCTGGAAGGTTGAGCCTGAAGTGAGCCGAGATTGTGTCACTGCACTAAAGCCTGGGCGACAGAGTGAGATAGCCACACACACACACACACACACACACACACACACAGAGACACACACACACAGAGACACACACACAAAGTATAGAAAAGATCATCCCTTTTAGATCTGAATTATCTCATATGACTGTTTATTGTTTAAAAAGTAATGTTAGAGATTCACTTCTTGATCATTAAAATATTCAAATCTATATGCTTGCAGCAGAATAAAAATCTATCCGATTTAGTCTCTAGTTCTGCTGACTTGCTGTGAATACAGTACAAATATGAGACATCCCCATATTTATCATAGTAAATTGGGATGAACCAGCTTTTGAGTTTCCTGTAAACCTTTCTCTGATTGAAATAGAAAATGCCAGAAGCTGAGAATTGTAATCTATAAAACATGAGGTTCATTTGATATATGGGAAAACTTTGTTACATTTTCCTAATCTTAAGCATACAATGTAATTGTAGTTTAATAAATCTCCTTGAAAAAACATTTAAATTATAGTTCCTTAAATTCTTCTCCTTTTTAAACAATGTACCCATATTATCTATGTCTCATATTTTTACTTCTTCAGAAAAGCATCTGAGACCACTATATTTTAATTATCATAATGAAATATGATCATTTTTTCTCATCACTTTGCAAAGATTTACAAGCTGAGTGAGTACATATGATAGTTTCTGTATACCTCTAAGGAACAAAGGCAGTTCTTTTCCACATATTAATTTCAGCCATTCTTTAGCTCTCCCACGTCCAATACAAAACATGTAATCACATAAGTGCTGTTGTTTTTCCATTTTAATATTGCGCCAACAACTGTAATTTTTCTTCACTCAGCACAGTTTCTCGTTAAATTTTAAGCCTAATCTAGAATTAAAAACTTGCTATATTTTAAAACTCTTGAAGTGAAACATTTGGAACTCTTCTAGTAATTATTAAAGCCCCAAGCCATGAATGAACACTACGTCCCCCAAACTAATTGTCTAGTGGATCATTTTTGCCTTCTAGTTCTAAGAAAAATGTATCTTTTTTTTATTTTGCTAATTAGAATCTCTTAGGGAAGTGTTTTAAATTGTTACTGGATCTTATCAGAAAGAAAATCTTTGACATCTATAATTTTGATAACTTTTCCCCTTCTTTTGAATGGTGACTTTATTCATGCATTAAAACAAACCAGATCCTTGAGGGAAGAACTGGAGAATATATTCTACATACAAAATATTTCAAATTTTTCTTGTTAAATGAAACTTTTTATTTTTTTAAATTTTGTATGTGAAACATCTATAGCATTAAAAATAATTACTACTCAGAATTTAAACAAAGACACATATTATACTGTGTCTTATGATAATACATTGTTCACTAGACCACTTGAATAGAAACAGAAGACATAAAAATATTGCTCTGGCTCATCACGGTCCTGTCTATGAAGCCAGTTCATAGTTTCCATATGGTCTATCTGTCTAGAGCTAAGCATTGCTGAAGCATGAGCCACATCATTGAAAATCAGCTTTATCCCTGACTAAAGACATGACTCAGAAACACCACAAGCATGGAAGTTTCCAAGTAGTCTCTGGTCACCTAATCCGCTGTTGTCTTCTTGGGAGTTGAAGTAGAAGATTTTACAGCAATCCCTTTTGTCTCTCTGCTTAGAACAAGGTGTTTAGAATGGATTAAACATATTAACAGTGCAAATCTTCTCTGAGGAGAGTTTTCCAGATTGCTTGGACCTCCCCCTGGGGACTATGTGGGAATTTCAGTGGTGGTTCTCATCTTTTATATTTTTTTCTCTACAGCAATTTAAAATTTATTCTGTGGAAAAAAAAATAGTTACTAATCCAGATTATGTAAAGATGAGAAAAGAATCATTCCATTTTTACCCTCTGATGCTCTGTGTAGTCCTGTGGTTCAGAAAAAACAATATACATGAAATCGAACATGAAATTGTCCAGTTTTCCTCTTATGTCTTTTCTTTATTCTTGTATATCTGTTCTTCTGAATAGTTTCATTGGAGAACTACTTTGGAAGATATTGATGTGATTTTTTTAATCTAAAAATTATTTTATATTAGGCTGTGCTTGTAAGTCCAATATGTTGTCCAGTGGACAGATGTGCCTTCATCTGGAGGGGATTAGAGTTTAAAACTACCAATTTTGGTGAACAATCTTATGTCCTTTCACTTCAACTCTCTGGACAATATATTTATTTATAACATGAAGTTAATATGTTCTCCAAATTTCTTCCCAGGGAGTCAGTGCAATTAAATGAGTTCATTTCTGCTAAAGTACTTTTAACTCTGGGGAAGCAAAATTTATTTTTCCTTATAAGAAAAAGAAAATGGTAGTATTACATTCTCTCAGTAGACATTGGGAAAATATATACACCTGTTTTAACAGACTGTGTTATCATGTTTAATTTCTTTTTGTTGTTGTTGTCTTTGTTTTGTTTTGAGATGGAGTTTCACTCTTGTTGCCCAGGCTGGAGTGCAATGGTGTAATCTTGGCTCACTGCAACCTCCACCTCCCAGTTTCAAGCGATTCTTCTGCCTCAGCCTCCCAAGTAGCTGGGATTACAAGCATATGCTACCACACCCAGCTAATTTCTTGTATTTAGTAGAGATGGGGTTTCACCATGTTGGTCAAGTGGGTCTTGAACTCCTGACCTTAGATGATTCACCCACCTTGGCCTCCCAAAGTGCTGGGGTTACAGGTGTGAACCACCAGGCCTGGCCCATGTTTAATTTCTAATTCTTCATTTTATTTAAGACTAGCAGTTTTCTTGGTTTGTTAGGACCACCAAGTATCTTTATAACTTTTCTTTGACAGATCATTTAATGTTTCTGATCATTAGTTTCCTTATGCAAAAACAAAAAAACAAACTAAATTTGGAAAGATGGGCGGTATCTATAAACATAGACATTTATAATTGTGTATAATAATGTTTATGAAATCATGTAGGGAGCACTAAACACAGAAAGGAAAAACCAGTACCAGCCATTGCAAAAAAGAACCATATGG